CTATTATGCTAACGAGTTCCTGCTGGGCGTGGCCAACTTGGGAGCTAGCCGGAACTCCGTTCCTGTGCGCTCCTGCCCAAAAATAGCCCTGCTTAGAGGGAGTATGGGGCCTTACCCTAATAATTTTATTTATTTTTTATTTTGCCGTCAAGTCACAGTTGACTTATGACGACCTCGTGGGGTTCGGGGGTGGCTTGCCACTGTCTGCCTCTGCGTAGCAACTCTGAAATTCCTTGGTGGTCTCTCATCCAAATATTGACCAGGGCCGACCCTGCTGAGTTTCTGACGAGATCGGGCCAAGTCACTGAACGCTCAGGGGGGTGGGAGGCGTTTGGAGAATGACGCTGGCCAAGAACTGGCATAGCATCCTCATCTCTTGCCCTCAATGTGCCCAGCCCAAGAAATCCCCCGTAAGGGCTAAGGGCCCTACTGGACAGGTTTGTTGTAAGGGTTACACTGAAAGACTGTATTTAAAACGCTTTGAACAGCATTGCTATAGTGTTTAAGCAGTGGGTTTTTAAAATAATTTCTTATATGATTGGCCAGAATAAATGTGAATAGGACACAGGCAGGGGGAAACACACTTGGCCCAGTCACTGGAATCAAGACTAGGGTTGCCAAGTCCATCTCCCACCCCCAGCAGGGGACTTTGGGGGCGTTCCTGGAAGGGGTGGCGGCATCCCCAACGTGATGACGTCACTCTTTTCCTGCTGCACTATAGTCAATGGGGACCATTATAGTCAATGCGCTCCATAGGCTATAATGGAGAATTATATCTGGAGCTCTGGGGTGGTCTCCTGAAAAAGCCCCCCAAGTTCCAAAAAGATTGGACCAGGGGTACAGTTCTATGGTCCCCAGAAAGAGGTTCCCCATCCCCATAATTTCCTATGGAAGATTGGTTGTGAGCAGATTGGTTGTGAGCCAGCCTTTGAAATGTTGTGCGCCAGCACCCCCTAGCACAGCTTAGAGGGAATTGTGTATGTGACCTGTATGCAGTCTTTACATTTAATGAGGGGATGACCTGAGTGAAAAGGGTAAGAAAAAAGCCTCATAAAGGGCCAATATTAAAAATCTAGTGTATAATTATTATATATAAAAAGACATGAACTTATTAGAAAGACAGTTAAAAACATATAAGGGCCCAATGAAAGCCACATTACAAAGTACAAGTGACCTGAACACGAGGGCCAATACAAGAGGCCTGTCACGAAGCTTTCATTGGACCCTTATATGTTTTTAGCTGCCTTTCTAATAAATACATGCATTTCTGTATATAATAAGTTTACCCTAGGTTTTTAATATTGGCCCTTTATCAGGTTTCTTTCTTACCAGAATAAATGTGAGGCTGGATTAGTTCTCCTCACGCTGTGTTATAAGCCCTGGGCCAACCTCTCTCATCCTTCTTGGTTAAACCAAGATTCCTGAGGCTTGAACTCCGCCGTATGACTCATAACGTGCAGGGTCTGAATTCCCCCAGCCTGACTTTGCTGCCAACAAGTGTCAGGAGTGGAAGATTGTTGTTTTTTCCCCCAGCAGCGGGGTCGGTTACTGACTGCTGGCAACCGTGTCAGGCGATGTTCCCTCTAAGCTGAGCTACTGTGAGCTAGCTCACAGTTTTTTAGCCTCCGGCTCATGCATTTGTGCCTTAGCTCAGGAAGGATGGCTCCAGAGCAAACGAATTGATGCAGGTGCCAAATGGCTCGCTCACAACTTTAATGCCAGCAGCTCACAAAGTACGATTTTTGCTCACAAGACTCCACAGTTTAGAGGGAACATTGGTATCAGGTTGGGAGAATTCAGACCCTTCCCACTGTGAGGCCTAGCGTGTAGATCCTAAGGAGGATCTTTGTGGGGGGGGGGCAGGGGCAGGATTGAACTAGACTGGCCTTTTTTTTAGTCCCCACCATCTTTGTGTGGTCTCTTCTGCCTGCTTCAGGGTAAAGGAAGCTGGCTTGGCTCCTGAGGGTGATCAACAGGCAGAGGCCGAATCAGAGCGGCTGAAACTGGGCTGCGGCACCTCTTGTCTGGGAGAAAGGAGCCCGAAGCAGGTAAGGGGGAGGGGGCTGTGGGGCAGATCAGGGAATGTTAACGAACGTGTAGTTTCCCCATGAGCAGGATTCCCTCTAAGCCGAGTTAGTGTGAGCT